GCAATAATTCAATCACCCTCTCACTCTTAGTCCTCACTGCCAAGTACAGCGGGGACTCACCCGTTAATGGCCAGAGACAATTGGGATCCTGGCCGAGCTCGAGGAAGTTTTCGACGGCGCCGTAGCAACCACACATGCAGGCCACATGGAAATGTGTCAATCCCGACTCGTCGGTGTAGTTCACATCGAATCTGTGATAAATTTTAAAAAGCTGACGGACAATGGAATTTCTGGTGGAGAACCAGCTTGCAGCTGCGAAATGCACTGGTGTGGTGCGACTCAACGATGACTCACCGTCTTCATCCGGCTCGGGCTCGTCCTTGTAGCCGTTGCGAATCACAAAGTCAATCAATGAAGATCCTTCGAGCATTAGCCTATATTGCGCCATGAATTTTACTACGTCAAAGAGAAGCCGATCGATTTCTTTTGGCTGCAAAATGTCTCGGAAATGTGGAAGTTGCCCTGGGCAATCCTTGATCAAGTGATGAAGTTCACGAATAAATATACCTCGCTGTTCTTCGATATCCCAATTGACATTTTCTTTTAAAAATTTTATTCTTTCTAAAAGTTGTCGGTTACGATAACCCACAAGCGTATTGAAATCGTTTCCGTTGATTTGCGACATTCTGCTCACTCACGCACAACGCAAAATGTCTTGGAATTTAAAAATATTTTTTACTATTTTCACTTTTAATCACTTGCTGCAGTTGATACTTGTTTTTCACGTTGTGACGTTTTAGCACTTATTCTCGCTGATTTTACATATTACGTTATATATTCTACATGAACTACGATAGAAAGCTAGGCTGGATAGATCGGACGAGAAACGGAATAACACGATGCTACGCACGAGGCGATTCAAAGGCAAATGAGCTGCGAGCGTGCAGTAGTCCAGCCGGCCATATGGACACTCCGCCGCGCAGCGGAAGAGACCAAAGGACTTATTGCGAGAACTAACTCAAGAGCTCCGAAGACTATCTGCATCTGTACTGTAGAGTACAGCTATAAGCTAGTCGGTGTCCAATTACTAGCAGCTTCGACACATTTCGACGTTCTTTACGAAGAGTATTTTCATCCTTCGAATCGTCAGATTGTGTCAGATGACGAAATTTTTAGAAAAAGTTGTGTTGTTGGTGTTCAAAAGAACGTATTACAACTATGACCCATTCAAATGATGCGAACAACTTTGTTTTTTGATTTTTAGGCTACTTGTGCATCATTTGTAAATAAGTTGTCCATGAAAAATCATTTTTCAATAATTATTTTTTCACTCATTTCGCAAAGGCAGAACAAAATTTATGAAATTAAAATCCATTTTCAATTTTCAGTTGATCCGCGAGAAGTCGACTTGCAGGACTCGAATTTTCGTAACCTTTATCGCGATATCAAGCATTTTACAATATTATTCAATTAGATACATATCCGATGGGGGTGCCTCCTCTCGAGCTGCTGCGCGCAGTGCTAATCCGCAAGAAGCTGAATCGAACCGCGCGGAGAATACTTGTCGACACATCGCTCGTTTAAAATTACCGCGTGCGCTGCGTGACACGACAATTGTCGCGCGGCATCGACAAAGTGCCCACAACTGCAACGCACAAGTGTGGAATCTCTCCATATACGTACGTGTTTTATGTGTAAATGTGTGTGCGTGTGTCGAAGCTCGAAGCTGGAAAGATCGCGCGAGGCCGCGACACACAACATACATATACAACTCGTGAATATCGTAAACATGTCGCGCGATCGTCGCGCACGTATCTAATGCATACATACGTGCATGCGTCGGTCGCGGCTAATTCGCGACCGATTACTCTCGGTGCAGCTCGTGCGTCAGCCGTTATCGCCTATTGTCCTGCCGGCCCCGCGCATTGTATATATAAACGCGAGCCGATGTCCTCGCCGCGTCGCCGCTTCGATAGAATTACGAGAGCGCAGCGATCCGCGACGACCGCACCGAGTAAGCCGTGGATCGTCGTCGCGCTTACTCATCGCCGATCTTCTAGGCCATCTCGTGAGAAAATACCGATCGTAACTCATATCTCGTCTCGAGCGAGCGTAATATCTGCGCGTTTGGTTCGCGGATCGCTGAAATATTTATACAAGATCATGTTTGAGAGGTGTGATAGAGTTTAGTTGGATGTTTTATCTATAGGTAAAAGTTCTCGAGCTTCGAACCGCTTTACCAGTTGCATTTGATGCAGGCAAAAAGTGTGAAAACTTCAGCTACGCTGTGTTCTGTGTCAGTTCGAGCTCCATACGTCGAGGATCACAGAGGGATGCATATTATAGACTCGCCAAGAGACGTGACGAGCAAGATAACAAAAAAATAGAATAAAATAGGCTACATATACCACGACGCTTCGCCGCAGAATCGGCTCATGGTATATATAGTGTTCAACAATCAAAGGCTCGCAGTGCAAAGCCTCCGTACTGTATTATATATAACGTGGCCTGCATAGTAGCCAGTGGCAACCTTTGTTGGCGCGAGCTTCGTCGCCCGACACACACGTAAAGCCGCAGGAACGCAGGCTGAGCGCGAGGGCCTGCAGGCGAGATTTTTCAAAGTTAGTCCAGCTACTGTGCGCAGCGTTAAATTTAAGTTACTTATATCCTGTCTCGTTTATAACGCAGCTGTTGTACCGCTGCGCTCCTTTCTTTGACGTTCGAATTTTTCATTTCCGCGCGGTGCTGCTACTCTTCTCTTTCTATCTCTCCATCTGTAAGTGAATCATTCGACTTACTTTACGTTCGTGAATTCTTTTAAATGCTCATCGATTGTTCCACTTTTTATTTCGTCGCGTTTATACATTCCGCCGCTATATAACTCGGGGTCCGACTCTGCGCGCCATGCGCCACACAAACTGAAAGAATGAATCCGCAGCTTGCAGCGCAAAAAAGCTCAACAACAACAGCAGCAGCAACTAAAAAAAGCACGAGGTGAAAACTAATAAATTTCAATCCTTCATTTATATAATCTAGGCTTTTTAAAAGCCCTATAAAGTTTATCAAGACTTAAGCACAGCAGCAGCAGCGGCGGTGGTGGCGGTGGCAGCATCAGACCCGCGCGCTCACTGCTATATACTATATGCAGCAACGGCGTATACGAGAGAGAGCTCGAAGAAAAAAGTCTTTACCACATTATACATTCAAGTTCATAATTTAGCCGAGGCTTCGCTCTCTTTTTTTCCTCTCTCTCTCTCTCTCTCGCCTCGCAGCAGCTCCCACTGGAAAATCTCTGCCCGCGAGCTTCAGTCTTCCTTTTTTCTCCCTTTTTTTTCTCCTTATAATATACGCGCGCGCGTAGTGCTGCTCCTGCTGCTGTTTGTCAAAAAAAGAGGGATAGAGCAGAGCGAGAGAGAGAAAAAAAAAGTTATATATCCCCCAACACCTCTCGGTATAATCCCCGGTTTGACGCGCCTAGAGAGAGAGAGAGAGAGAGAGCCTCGTTGCAGTGCACAAGTATTATACGCATGGCAACTGTATACGCGCGGCAGTGGCGTATACAGCTCTCTCCGTACGATAAAAATCATTTAGACCCGTTTGGGTTCGTTTTTTTTTTTTACTTTTTCCGATACACGCACTCGGTCGTTGTATCGTGTCGCGTACTGTGCGTCGAATATATTGACCCACTTTAATAGGCGCCGGACGGAAAAGCTCGCAGAGCGAGAGAGGTGAGCTTTAATTTCACGCGCCCCTCTGGTATTTTTGCCCCATGCATAAACTGCAAGCTCTGCCGCGCGCCCTGGGATTTTCTAGTATACGATGTACATGCATTATATATACACACACACACACACACACTCACACACGGGCGAAAGAGCTTTAGCTGCTCCGTACGCGATACGTGTTCGATCATTAGATCGGTGCATTACGTAGCGGATCGTCGACGAGCCTTGCTCGCTCCGGACGAGCTTGCACACGCCGCATGACGCAAACATCCTAGCTGGGTATTATGCGCTTCGAGCTTGTTGCCGTCGTGTGTGCGTATATATCTTTCGCGATGGGATAGGTGACTAGAAGCTGTGCTCTGCAAGCCGTGTATAACGCGACAGGATTTATATCAGCTCCTTATATAAATTGCCATCCGAGTATAGCGTGCGAGTTATATATTATGCATGCATGACGCTTCGCATGATGCATGCGTCAACGGAGATTGACCTAATTCGCGCGCGCGTGCGACTATTATTTTCCTGATCCGGCTGATTCAATTCTTCGTCGACTTTTCACTTCTTGTAAAAAGTTAATGACAAAACCGCGCTGACGTCCGATTGGACTTTCTCCCGTCGATACGGGCATTACAAATTAGAATTGTGCCTCGACAATCCCTTTCCTCGAACGATCGATCAAAAGACTGGTCTTGTCCATCTTCTCGTTAGTACAAGACAATGCGGGAACAGCCAATATACACGCAATTCCGATGCAAATACGCGCGCCTCTCTGTGACGACATCTATATCCCATGTATACTCTCTTCTGTCGCGAAAATGAATATACCCTATCCCCCGACCAGAGAGACAGACTTGGTGTGCACGAGCGACGAGAAATTATTATAACATCCGTTTTCGTCAGCCTCCCTCCTGTAATAGTAATAATAATAGTAATAATAATAATGACACTTAGGTATATTACATGCCGAAGAGAGGCGAGCGGATGCGTCGAATTTGAAATTCGTGGCGCGTCGCGGCGCAAGCTCGATTTCCCAGTTGGTTACCGCAAACGAGATGGACGAGATGTGTATATAGTACATAGTCTGAGCTAGGCTATACGTGCGATACCTTTCGCAAACGACACATCGGAGTTTTACACGCCCAGCGCCACCACCGCCGACGCTTTAATGCTATCGGTGTCTGATGTAACGTCGTTACTCTTATTCCGAGAGCGATATCCTATACATTTTTCAGGATGATTAAATGGCACGAGATGAGATGTAGCTTTTTACACGTTCTTTTTTATATTCAATCAATTTTGAAATTTTTATAATTCAAATTTAATTGCAAGCGCGCGAGAGCACTTTTACAAAGCAACGATAAAACTTATGAATGTAAATTAACAACTATTATACATTGTTACAGAATCTATAGAATTTTATCGAGAGGACGTGACAGGCTGTCATTCTTTCACAATGACTTCAAAAAGCGCCTGAATCGATGCAACAAGTCGTCCGTAACAATAACATTCAGCAGCATGAATTGTAAATTCTTGGGATCGGGCTCGGCGCTTATCACCGTAGCCTCTTTGTAGAGCCAAGCGAAAGCCTCGCTGCCCGACTCCACGCGCATCTTCATGATGGATCTTCCAGTTTCGGATAATATGAGCCTCTCGATCTCGTGTCGCAAGATGTCGATGCCTGTGTGAAACGAGGCAAATTAATCATCAATTTGGGATTTTACGAGAATATTATATGATCAACAGCTTCTTTTTTTTTTTTTTAAGACTGTCGTAATATATTTACCAGTGGTTTCCGTGGCTGAAATTCCCAATGCATCTTCGGGCAAATTACCAGGTTCTATCAAGTCGCATTTGTTAGCAACTTCAATCGTTGGTTTGTTCGCATCTGACAATGATTTCAATGTTTTCCTAACGTGTTCGATTTGAGCTTTACAGTCTGGATGGCTTACATCATAAACATGTACAATAATGTCCTAAAAAAGAATTTGATATTTGTTATCTTAAATGAAATGTCAAAAAATTATATAAAAAATAAAATAGAATATAATACTCACAGCTACCATTGCATCCTCCAATGTAGCAACAAAAGGTTCAATCAAAGTTTCTGGAACATCTTGTATAAAACCAATAGTGTCTATGTACAAAACTTTCATAGTGCTAGGTAGAACACCCTGATGAGCAGTTGTGTCCAGTGTTGCAAACAAATAGTTTTTAGGTGTCAATTTTTTGTCTCCAGTTAATGCTGTAAAGAAAAATTAGTTTAAAATTATAATTTTTACTTCAAAAACTTTTAAAAATATCTTTACCTTTTATCAATGATGTTTTTCCAGCATTGGTGTACCCAACGATAGCAACTGTAGCAAATCCATATTTTTTTCTTTTAGTTCTTACAGATTCTCTATGTGTTTTCAGTTTTTGTAGAGCATTTCTCAGCTGACCTTCTCTTGATTGTAAAAATAATCTCCTTTTTTCTAGTAAATTAATCTGACCATTGATTTCGCTCATTTTCTCATAAATATACGGAAGTTCAGCTAGGGCTACCTGAAGTTTTGCTTCAGGACTTTTTGCATGACTTCTAAATATGTGAATTACAAGAGAATATCTGTCATAAACAGGTAGTTTAAAAATTTTTTGCAATTCTAAAAGCTGTTCATGTTTTAAAGTATTTACACTTATAAATACAGCAGTTATGTTGCATTGACTATCTAATAAAGACTTGATCTTTGTGAGAGTACCTTTACCAAAAAATTGTTTTCTGTCTAAGCTCAAAAGAGGAGCCCATAATTTTTCAACGACAGTCCAGTAAGGTAAAGTTTGAACCAATGCAACAGCTTCAGCTAGCTGCAATTCTCGAGTAGTATCTTTTTTCTTATCTTTACCCCATTTTATGTATGGCTGAATTACTAGAACTCGATGACCTTTGGCTATAGTACCCAAATATTCATTGGAAATTTCTGAATAATCTGGATTATTCAGGTCCCTCTCCTCATCGACAAAAAAGTAAGAATCAATTTGTCCCCCATTCCGTCTCTTAAGCATTAAACATGGCTTTCTGTGCACAAATTGCTTTGTAAACAATGCTCTCCTTTTTACAAAAGGAGTAAGCCTTTTCAAAATTCCATTCATTTTCACTATTATAATGTAGAAACAATTTGAAAATTAATATTCTTCTATTCCTGCCATTTTTCTTATTTCATCTCTAACTCTCTTTTCACACTTTAGTTTTTGATTACGTCCAGCAAAGTAAGAAACTAGCATCATTGAACAAGCAGTAGCGCATACTCTGTACTCAATCGGCACAATTGGAGAGAACCTCTTGTGAAATAGTCGTCCCCAAACTAGAGGTATCGCTATGCAACCTGGAACACAGAAGGAATAGAGTTTAAATTGATGGAAATACTTTTAGCAGCTAAGTTGAATCATAGTCTGGACATTAAGTCAGAGCCCCTTTATTGTCAATAAAAATGTCATTCAGAATTGACAACATGAATGATAAATGAATGATAGAGTCCTAATAACTAAGAATCAACGAGTATAAACGACAAATACCTGCGATGTAAGTGAGACCGCAAGTTGTAATCCATTCCTCAGCGCATCTGTCGGCGGAGTACCTACGTGCGTCTTGTACAGTTTTTACGTCTTCGAGATCGAGAACCAATGGCATAGTTGATATTTTTCATGAAAAGGATATCTCGCGCGTCTGAAAAAGTATCAAAGATACTGATTGACTTTACATTTCTTTGACGATTCGTCGATCGAACGAAACGGTAGGTCGACACTCGACTCGTGTCGTAAAAACGTTGGAAACTTGGAATGCGCTTAGATTCGAGGTTATAATAGGAACGCGTGTCGAGGATTACGGCTCTTCTGCTAACACGTTTTTTCAAGCTTTACGTCAAGAGGTAATTTTTATTTTAACTCTTATTAGATTAGAAATCGAAACAAGTCTATGGTCTTTTCTCATTAATTATACTTCAACCAAAATTTAGATTGTTTCAGGCAAAACCAAAATGTTTATAGTCAGACAATTATCAAGTGTAGGTCTTCGAACGACCCTGCGATTATCGCAAGAAAACGCGAGGAGTATAAATATAAAAAGTCTGGCATCTTCTGTCTTGATCATCGATAAAAGCGTGGTCAACACGTCACAAATGACGTCGACGACGTTCGAGGCCAAACGGCCCGAGGTTAGCGACAGCGTTCGGGAGGCTGAAAAATTTTTGAAAGAAAAGTTCGAGACATTAGAAGTAGATTTCCCGTGCCCCAAGTGCAATACAATCAATTACCAAGTCGTCACCAAACGAGCTCATGAGAAGGGGTTCATCATGGTTTTATGCCCGGGGTGCAGACATAATATTGTCCTTGCTGATAATTTGGGATACTTTAAGAGCAATGGGGAGGGAGAATTTAAAAACTGTCCGGTGACAATGAGGAACCTATTACATCCCGAGAACTTGAAAAACCTAAAAATTAATATAAAGCGAGCTCAAGAACCTCCAAAAGATGCGATTCAAGAAGGTGCTGATTTATATTATTACGGATAATAACATAATTCTCACGTATATTTTTCTATAGTGAATTGCTTGTGTAAAGCACTAATAAATTTATCAAAAGAACTTTCAATATAATTAGATTGTATTATATGTTATATATTATGATGAAAATGTTATATATTATGATGTATATTGTATTGTATAAAATACTTATAATGTAAAATAATATAATGTATAATATATTGAACTGAATAATAAAGTATGCTAATATGGGCCCCAGTGGCCCAAAAATAGCTTTATATTAAAAAAAAACTGTTGAATTACACTTATTATTTTCCTGTTGTCACTAAATACTTTCATTGTACAGGCATACCTCCTTATACGCGGATTCTGTAAACGCGGTTTACCCTTATACGCGGATTGCCGAATGCGACGATTTCTCGTTATACGCGGATAAGTTTAAGTTATACGCGGTTCAAGACGGTCGAATATTTTTTTTATAACCTTTTGAAAAATTTGACAATGGCTCCAAATACTCCGAAAATTTCTAAAACTTCGATAAAATAAAGAAAAGTCATTAATTTGGCTGAAAAATTGAAAATTCTAAATTTAATCAGAGAACGGGAGTGTATTGCTGCTATTGCAAAGTTACCGATCTTTTTACGAAACCTCTGTAGATTTTTATATTGATATATTTATTAAAATAAAAAGTCGTTATTAAAGATTCGCTTTTTGCCTCGTTATACGCGGATTTCGCTATACGCGGAACTTTTCCGGAACGTAACCCCCGCGTATAACGAGATAGGCCTGTACTTTTAGTGCGTTATTCTTTCGAAACGAAAGCAAATCCTCAGATAATTTGTCTTTTGCATTTCTTTATCTATCTATGAATAAAATTAATGTGTTATTTGAAAAGTTTAAAAGAATTACGAGAATCGCCTTTAAATTATAAATAACTATTCTGAAAAATAAAAGTGTGTACTAGAGCCGCTCGTATTTGGCGTGTAATATATCAAAAGGCGGGCAACGACCTGTGGACAGATGTCCTTTGCGATCGGCTCTGGAACTTGCTGCCGTTGGGACTCCGTGAGGGGTTATCGGCGGCCTAGCTTTGGGGCCGGCCTCCGCGAGTATTTGCTTGAGGTCCAGAGAGGCAGCTGACCTACCTGTGCTATTGGCTGTCTTTTTAAATTTTATTTTCATTTTCTTTATGTACACGTATTATCTTTTTTTTCTTTTTTCTTGTTCTTTTTTTTCTCTCTATTCTCCTGTAATAGTGTCTTTAACTGTGTATAATACTCATGCCCGTGTCCCCCGCTATTGACCGGGAGGCTGTACACTGCGCGTGGGCTATGCTGGACTCAAGTCCTTAGCCTTAATAAAGAAAATATTAAATATTAAAAATTAAATATTAAAAGAAACTATATTTCAACAATAAATCGCTAAAAGTGAAGGTGACAAAATTAATTTGCTAATTATTTTTTGCTTCATAGAAAATAATTTTATTGAAATATTTTACGACAAGGATTTTCCATCATTTTCATTTTTAAGTATGTTTTAACCATTTGAATGAATGAATGAATCTCTTAAAAGTCGAGATTCGCGAGAGGGAATCAATCGGGGATGTATGGAAGAAAAAGGCTGAAAATTGTAGCATATCATTGAAAGTGAATATTTATAGGTAAACAATTACGAAATAATTCGATAAGACGTATGAATTATCAATCGAACGAGAAGTAATGTCGGGTTAGCGAGACTACTATATAAGAAGAAAAAGGTTCAACATTCGGAATTCCACGAATATTATCAATCGAACAAGTGTCAAAAAATCAAGCTCTTATCGTGATTTATCGATCGTATGAGAGTTGGCTCAATGAATCAACTCGCGACAATCGATCGAAAAGTTTCTATAAAGTCTATGACAAAAATCGAGCGAAATGTAATTTCGACTCCGTTTGCATACCCGCACAGAATTGTCAATCGCTGCATACGATGCGAGCTGTGCACGTGTGGCTGTTCTCTTGGCAACGCGCAGATTCCGCGAGTCGCAGGCGCCTAGGTGTACATGTGTATCATAATGTAGGGCTTGAATTGCACAGCACAGCTCCTCTCCGTGACTCGTGGGACGTGTGCGGATGTCGCGTGCCTTAGCTACGTGCATGTGCACCGAAAACTCATCAGTGCATCCGTCGTTGCCGCGTCGCGTACACCGTCGTTGCGATTCCGCATATACCTCGCGACGCAGTGCAACGACTTTAGGCACACGAATTTAGGTAGTATACCGCGTTTAAAAACATCTACATGAGAAAGTTCGTTGCCGCCGTGTGCTAAATGTACAATTTGCACGAGAAGAATTCGGAGTCGCGCTTATTTCATGCTCGATAAAATTGATAATCAACATCTGCTCGCTCTAGTCGTTTGGCGCGCGAGTTCAGCTGTAATCACGATAATGATAATAATAGTCGTACAGCAGTAGTACGTCGACACGAGCATATCCCGCAAAACTCGACGAGTGACGACGACGACGAATCTCGCGCGCGTGTGTTACATTATACATTTTATACACACCGACACATTCTCACTGCTACGCACACACACACACACACACACACACACACACACACACACACACACACACACACACACACACACACACACATGCAGCACTCGAGCCAGAGCATGAGGCAGCAGCACAGGAGTCGGGAGAGTCGTCGCGTGGAATATGTATGGGTGTACTACTCGCGCAAACATTGAACAGAGACGGATAGGCAGAGAGAAAGAGAGAAAAAGAAAGAGACAGAGAGACAGAGAGAGCAGAGCAGAGCGAAGAAATTTCAATCCTATACTCGGCTCGGCGCTATGCGACTAGCAGTGCTGTAGCGTAGGCCAATGGACGCGGCCATGTTAGCAATAACGAGTATCAGTAGTAATTGTAAAAACCATCCTCGCCAAGTGCCGAGTGTCGTGTACATATAAGATTTAAAAAAAAACTCCTGTACATATCATATACATTAAGAGTCGAGTACAGTTGTGTATAGAGATTCGAGGCTACAACTACTACTGCTGCTGCTGCTGCTATATATATTCACGCAGACACACGCGCATACCAACGGAGGCAGCTATATACTTGACTTATTTTGTACCTTATAGTATAGTATACATATACAGAGGTAGTGCAGTGTGCACACGGGAGAGCAAGAGAGAGAGAGAGAGACAGAGAGACTCAACTCTGTGTACTGCGTGAGCTGTGTGCAGTGCTGCCTCGCGACTGCGAATCATCGCTCATACACATAAACCTACACTTGCGTGCAGAGAGTTGAACTGCTGCGAGTCGCGCTGTGTTTTATAAAAATCTTATGTGTGCTGTGCTGTGTGCTGGCAGCCTCGCGCTCCGTTGGCTGTGCCGCTGCTGCCGTGAGCTGTGCTAGCCTATAATAGTGCTGTAAGCACGTCGTCGTCGACGACTCCGACTTTCAGCAATTTTTAATAAAGTAAACACGTATGCGTGCGTGAGCTGTGTAGTAACCCCCTATACATGCTGGTGTGTGAGTGCGTGTCGCGCTACAAGAAATTAAAATTAAATCAACGAGCTGCTGCTGTCGCTGCTGCTGCTGCTGCTGCTATGACTGTGCGCGAGTGCAGTTGATGAAAGGCGACGACGACGACGACGAGGACTCGCATTTTATCGAACGTCTGTGCGCTGGGCAGCAGTGCCTCCAAAAAACATATCTAGCCCGTGTCTCTGTCTCTCTTTCTCTGCCTGTACGTGACACTCGGATCATCGTTGCAGCACACTGATTCTCGATACTCGATGTACCGAGGGTTAGTTTTTTAGCATTATTTCGTTACACGCGCGCGCCCGTGCACATATGTATCATTTATACACGCAACTCCGTGAGTGCGCAAAAAAAATTTTCGTCGCCTAAATACGACTCTGCTATACATACTGCTGGCTGCTGCTGCTGCTGTACTGCACGCGCGAGTTGTTTGACCCCGGACGGAGTGTAAGTGTGTGCTCAAGTGCTCCGCTCTTTATAAGAACGTCGTTGCCGCGGCGCGGCTAACTACTCATCGCACACAAATAACCATTGGCCGCTTCAACAACTGCTGCTGTTGCTGATAAACGAGAAGAAAATATTACGTACCCATCTCGAGCAATCCTAACTCAGGATGCCGAAATGCGATGCCAAGACCAAATATTTGCCGGCCACTTTTGCCTGGGCATTACTCCTCAGTACAACCACGCTTTTCTTCTACTTCCCGTGAGTGTTGACTACTGCATTGAAAATGTCGCATTTTTTTTTTACTTAGAGATAGTATTCGTTTTCATTGCTACGAGTGTTGGTTAATCTTATGATTGGTCTGAACTACATTTATGACTCAGCCCTCAAGTATGATCATTAACTGTTTTGATAAATAATTTTTTTTTCATTTGTTGATGGCATTTAATTTTGTTACACTCTCAATTGATCAATATTTTTCAATGAATTCAACTGATAATATTTCTCTGCAGGTGCCAATTTTATATATCTCGATACCCATGGGTACCAGCAATGCAGGCAGGCATAACTTTTTTTGTTCTGGCAAATTTCACATTAGCCACTTTTATGGACCCTGGAGTCATTCCCAAAGGTAAAAATCTGATGTTTATATTTTTTAACGTCGTTTAAATAATTTTATTACAATACCAATGGGTGCATTGCTTAATTTAGCTCCACCAGATGAGGATCGGGAAGACGACTTGAGGGCACCATTGTACAAAAGTGTAGAAATTAATGGAATCACAGTTCGGATGAAGTGGTGTGTCACATGTAAATTTTACAGACCACCAAGATGTTCCCATTGCAGTGTATGCAATCATTGTATCGAGGTAAGTTTCTTGCATTAAGCAAATTCTCTAATTACTTGATAATGACACTAAATTAATGATGTTGTTTTTACAGACTTTTGATCACCATTGTCCTTGGGTAAACAATTGCATTGGAAGGAGAAACTATCGTTTCTTTTTCTTCTTCCTTTTGTCATTGAGTATGCACATGCTCAGTATATTTGGGCTGTGCTTGTATTTTGTTCTTGAACATAAACAAAAACTTGGTGAAGTTCATACTATTGTAGCTATGGTACTCATGGGAATAGTGTCAATACTATTCATTCCAATATTTGGATTGACGGGCTTTCATATAGTTTTGGTTTCAAGAGGCCGTACTACCAATGAACAAGTAACTGGCAAATTTAATGGTGGTTATAATCCATTTTCAAGAGGCTGCTTTCACAATTGCTGTTACACACAATTTGGACCACAATATCCAAGGTAATTTGTCATTTATTTATACTTTAATGTGATTTGAAAAAGTACTTACCTTTTATCATTGATCCAGCTTAATGAAACCTGAAAAGTATTCAGCAAAACGGCGTGGAGCTTGCGCCTCGGAAATATCAACGATAGATAGCGAAAACCAGGTAAAAACTTACATGGATAGCAGCAATGGTGTTAGAAATACCAGTTCAAATGCTTACAATAAGGTAAGAGCTAGACCATCATCAGCTTCTCATGAACTTTAGTATTTAGTGCTTTGCGTCCTATTCCTCAATTTAGCAATTTAAGTTTACAAAACATCCAATTCCTTTTCCATTAGACATCTACTAGAGTCACCTCATCTGATGCTCCTTTCAATGTATCCAGATTTTATTTTTAAGTCTTCAAACATTCCAAGTAGTATGGTATGTAAGCGCAAACCTACTGCTCTAAAGCAAAAAGCTCCTATGACATCACCGCTAAGCTTGCGACTTTATTTCTATTTTTTTTATTATGTAATTACAGCTATCGCCTGGTAGAGATGGTTCTGATACGGATATGGAGCCCACAGCTTCACAATCAGCGGATTGTGAACCGACTCCACCTTTACAGAGACACGGTTCGAAAAATAATTTCTTCCTGCCACCTGTGGAGAATAATGAGTCTCCCAGGCATCCTTCCACACAGCAACAATCACAGCAGCATCGACACCCCATGCATTATCCTAGAGGCAGTCCACATCCTAAGCCAAGGTAGATTGATTCAGTTGTAAAAATAGACGGTTTCGATTAATTACAGAGCTATTTGTAAAAACTTGTAAGACGCTATTCATATAGTAAATCAAGAAATAGAGCTGAATACGTAATTTTTGTTTCTAACTTATCAGACTGATAACTCGAAACCTGGTCTAAAAAGTTTCTGAGCATTCGACTAATCGATAAATTCTTCGAAAATAGGGGGATAAACGGATCGAGGAGCCACACGCCTGATCCTCTTGGAGATTCACCGTCGAGTGGTGTAACTAATACTCCGTCAGGCCCCGCTCAAGGACAGACAGTTGTAGGAGACATACGTCAAGCTAGTCCAACGATGCAGCAGCGCATCAAAGCTATCGGCGTGCCCACGCCGCTTGCTATATCAAGCCCTATTCGCAGGTACGACTCCTTGGAGTTAATTCAAAACACGAAAAATCACAATTATTTACCGGTCTGACGATTGATGAAATAAAGGAGAAGTAAAAAAATTTATTATCGCGAAAACCATGTTTTTATAAAAAAAAATTACTTAATTTTAAGAGCTGTAAAAATCTTTACTGTCTGTATTATATATTATATCTATTTAGGTGTTGTACGCACCAAAATTTGTCCTTGATATTAATTGTACAGAATTAATACCTTATATCAAATGAAATGTTTTTTTTTTAATTGTTTTTATGTATTTTTTTTTATTCCTTCTGTTGCATCAAAAAAGTTTGATTAACCCTATATATCTTATGAATGCCTTTACTTATACCAGGAGTAAATACTGATTCTTTTTGTACTATTTTTTTTTCCTATAAAAAGAAATAACACTTTTGCTCATGCTAACATTGTGTATTGATGTATTAACTGGGATATTGACGATACGAATTGTCTATTTCACGTGTATACTTCTCTCACTTTAAAAGCATTTAGCACCTAATTAATCTTGCTCCTACACTCTAAACGAAACTTTTCTCTTTCTTCGTTTTCTATTATTAGATTTGAAAAATTAAGAGCACTCTACTATATACTTACGAGAAAAAACACTATTCAAATGTCATGAAACAAGAGATTTTTTGACAATAAAAATTTGCCTGTTTTATTTTGTAGTTGAGAACCAACGAGTTTATTATCTAACATTGTGAGTAACGGTTGGATATTAATTATTCGCATATTTATTACTCATTTTTAAGCAGTTGAGCATTGTGTCACCATTTTAGCAAATCTATTTCTTCCAAAACATGACAAAAAATCTTGATAATTGTGCGATCATCGACCGCTTTGACACATATCAGTAGCTGTAGAAATGAAAAAAAAAAAGATATATTACACAGCTCACACGTCATTCAAAAGATATATGGTGCTTATTTCATTCATCGTCAAAATTAAAACCGCATCGCACACAAGCGTTGTTTTTCATCCAAAATTAAAAAAAAAATCATAACATGTGAATTTATTATACATCATTTACGAACACTTCGTTTGTTTGCTCGTTGGCTGTCTGTATGCGCAGGGGTTGGTTACTCAATACACACCACTTATACGATAATTTGCCATAATCAGACGAGCGAGGATCATTCACCATTCGCACACAAAAAAAACCTCATACAAATAAAAACTTACCAAAAAAAATCAAAAAAGCAAAAAAAAAAACTTAAATATTATCCGATATACCTGACACAGGTAATAGCACAAATTTATGCATTTATAATAAGTTATATTTATCAATATATCAATGTTCTATATGTGTACACGCATGATCATAATTGAAACTCTGTTATAGACTGGCTTGTGCTTTTCTATATTATTACAATAATATAGTCGATATATGTTAATGTTATATTTTATCGCTCGCGAGCATCAAGGTTGTTGCCGCTGATAACGAACCAGTAACTCCTCGTGTTTAACGCGATTAATTAAACCGTTGGCAAAAGCTTTTTTTTCTGCTAATGGCTTCACTTGCGCCTTATATACCGCAGCGTATGCCTATATATATACGTACGTGTGTTATATTCTATATGTATACGTGCGAGCGTCTGTTTTTAACGACCAATCTTGACTTGCGTCGATTCCAGTAAAGCTCTCGCAAGTACAATGGCATTGAACGTCTCTTAGTTACGCTAATTACACACACAGATGCGACTTTCTTTCTCTCTCAATATGTACATTTTTTATTTCTCTGATGTTTGAAAAATGCGCGACAAAAAATTGACAATTAAAAAACATGTGTGTGCGTTGCGATGTTTCTTTTTTACTGGGGTCGACCATTTTCGATATACGGAAAAAAATTGCGTCGACGTTCCGAGAGCTTGACGATTATTTTGTAAATTCATTGCAGATCGAATCCAGGCACGCCGACGCAGGCCCGTCGACCGGATTTCATCGGGGTGTCGGAACAGCAGCAGCAACAACATCAGCAACAAATGGCCAACAAGTACTACGAGGCCCAACCGAATTACAGTCCGCAGCGTCGCTTCGTCTCGGAGGGCGAGCTCGTGCGTCAGGCTAGCGATCCGTCCTCGGCGTCTAGTCACCACCAGCAGCAACAACAGCAGCAGCAAACGAATTATCACGTGGCCAGGACCAACAACACCGTGGACAACATACGCGAGCTGGCGGGCTCGCCCCAGCGCGGCATCTACACCTGGAAGGACAGCTCGTCGCCGTCGGGCGCCGGCTCAGCGAGCTCCTATCCGGCGCCCAACGCCGAGGTCGCCGCCGCTCATCAGGTCGCCGCCCACGCGGCCGCCGCCATCGCCCAGCAGCATCACGCACATATGGTACGTACAACATACATGCAAGTCTGCAGGGACTTTACGACGACGGAATCGATTCAATTTTCCATTATTAATGAGTTTAATCGAATGAACGACGTCGGCGACTATATACGCGCGTGTGCTTTCATCGAGGCGCGCATGCAGAGCAAGCAAGGTCGTCCTTGAGAGAGAAAGAGCGAGAGAGTCGCCACTTTAATCGTATTACGCGCGCGTCGATAGATACTTTGAAAGCCCCCGTAATTGTGCTAAATTTGCCTTTTTTTTCTCGTTCTTTCCATTTACGTAGCAAGCGCAAGCTGCCGCAGCTGTAACGCAACGTCCACCGCTGCCTTTCGACTACTATCGCTCGAATCCCACGAGTCCGACGCAGCAGCAGCAATCGTACGCCTCGACGGTCACGGCCGCCGCCGCCGCCGCCAACAATTCCGCCGGGCGAGTGGCCACCTCGACATATCATCCGGTGATCCGAGGCGGTGTCCCAGTCTTCCCCCCGAACGCCTCGCCGCAGGTGAAGCGAAAGCCGAGCCTCGGCACGCCGACGACGCCGACGCAAACGACACCGGCGGAGAACCGACGCCGGCCCATGTCCTTCGTGCGGGCCCTCGAGATGAGCGACTCGCTGGAGATGATGCCCCAGACCACCAGCAATAACGGCGGCAGCGGGAGCGGCTCGAGCACCAACGTTGCCGGCAATAATGGCCAGCAGCAATCGCAGCAACAACAGCAGCAGCCGGAACAGACCAATCCCAACGATCGGGCGAGCGTCTACGATATGAACTACGAGATATCGGTATAGCGCAGCTGCTACGTCTCCCGCTCGCCGATCTGCGGCTGGCGGGAGGCTGTCAGACGACGCGACTCGCCGAGCCTCGTGCATCACTTGCAGGCCAAAGACAGCAGCAACAACGGCAGCGGCGCCAGCGTCGTCCAGGTCGTGGATGGAAAGCCGCCCAAGAGCGGCGGCGCCACCGCGGCCGCCAATAGCAAATCCAAGCAGAGACAGGGCTGTCAAGTCTCTGTCTAAAAGTCGTGCTTCGATATAATATATATTGTGTGATACACGGTTGTTCTGTTAAATAGTGATCGATCAGCTTTTTTGCAATGATACGATGACATTAGTTTTGGCGTTTTTTTTTTTTTGTTAATATATTGTTGTTATTATTTTCGATATATTATCTAATTAATTTTCTTTTTTTTTCTCTTTTTTTTTATCCAGGATGACTTGTTACGAGCTTGTTACTGCTCGGCTCTTTTCGTGTGATCGTTTTTCCTTCCTCCAGTTTGTTACTTTGTTAGAGATAGTATCGCGCTGTTTTATTGCTTTGCCTTATTTAATTTAATGCCACTATCGGAATGCAACCTGGTTACAAAAAGTGATAAAATGACGAAAACAAAAAGCAAACAAACACTTTCCTATCAGCGAACAAATATGCAATCGACTTTCAGAATAACATAAACTTTATCGTAGCTGTATGAGCGTGCGTGTGTGTGCGTGCGTGTGTTTTAACGTGAGTGCGTGATTGGTCGATAACCAGAGACTGAAGTGCATTTTCTATTCATACAAACATATGTATACTTGGAATTTAAGAATTAAGTGGAAAATGAAACAAATTGTATAATATTTTTAGCGTGTGTAAAAAAGCCGATGACTTTCTTGTTAGTGAAATCTTTTTGTTTTCAATTTCATTTACTTTTTTAAAGTATAATTTGAAGAAAAAAACGCAGAATCATACAGCTGGCATGTTCGTTGTAACTTAATTTTGTTTTTTTTATATATTAGATACGTCGTTGAGGTCAGTTAGATTTTTATACAGTGTTGTTACATTGAAAAGAAAAAAAAACATTGTTTTTTTATGACTATATATTAAAATTCTTTTTCAAATAACAATGATAACAATGATGATGAAGACGACGAACCTTATTATGGGCAGCGTAAAAGAGATATATATGTATATTATAAATATAGGTATAGATGAATGTATAAAATGAATATATTTATGTATAGATCATAAAGTTTGCTGTATACAACTTACAACATACATCAAGAAACACAAATTATATTGATACAGAGCAATTTTTGAGTATTTAATTTAGATTGTAAATTAGGAGAAAGTTTTTTTCGTGTCCTATCTAATTATTTTCTATACTCAAAAGTTGACAGCTTCAAAGGCTTCCTTTATTCATGATGCAATAAATTGTAATAATTTTTCTGTTCAATTTTTTTTAAATTGAAATAATTATGAACGTTATTGATTATTTCTATGTACATCTTCTTAATATTAATACTGCAATAGTAATCAAGAGGTGCAGTAGCATCTTACCAGCAATTTGAATATGCAACCAACACAAATTCAATTACGTAATTTTCCATTAAATTTCTTTGATTTGAATTTGATAAAAAAACACAGAAAAAGTAATTCGAGAAATACTCATGAAAATGTTTCCATTGGTCATTAAATCAGAGCTACTTAATCATGTTTGAATTTGTGTAAAAACTAGATTTATTGAACAGAATCGCGTACGCGCGCGAGAACTGATCGTGAGACATTCAATATATAAAAATTTGAAAATATTACGACCACATAAATGAAAAAAGGCGAAAATTATATCGTGTGCTGCATTTGTGTCAGATGCAAATCTTGGTTGATATAGTTTTTAATGTGTGTGCCGTGATGTAAAATAAATAAACGTAATTATTTTTACGACTATTTAAGTGAAATGATGCATATATGTGGGTTAAATTTAGTCCATTTCAGAAAGTACACAAACGACTGCCATTAATTATCGGGTACTAAAAACGTATAATTAGGCAGTCGAACGATACGAAACATTGATAAAATTGTGTTATTAAAGAAATAAATTATAAAACTTGTAAAATAAATGTGTATATGTTCGAAACAAAAGTGCATGACTACTTGTTAGCTACAGTTGTAAAAGTGTCGCATCTACTGAAATTCCGAATTTTTTATCGTTAGTATTCAATTATTATCGTCTAATTATTTTTACTATTTGACTCTTCCACGTGGATTTTTGAAGTTTTTAAATATTTATGAGTAAAACGACCAAATCTCTGTAACATTTCTTCGATTTTTATACAAAATATGATACAAGAAAAAAAGTACCGTGCCAAAATCACTAAAACCAACATAATTTTTGTACTCATCGAACGGTATCATATGGTGTATATTTTAACTGTCTAATTGATTACTTCCCTGTTTTTAATTGAAAAGATTCTAAAAAAAAATCATATATTTTGAATCTGAAAGTTGTCGAGCTTCCTTATACGACTGTGGTCTATGAGAGATATTTTAAAATTAAACGTAAATATGAATGATACAAATTAAGAAAATTATTTAAATCAGGGACAAATGAGGTTTGAAGAAACATTGACAAAAAAATTAAATATTTGTAATTTGATGTAACTTGTACATAATATGATAACTCGTTATCGCTACAAAACAAAATACAAAAAAACTTTCAGTGTAAATACGTATGGCATACATGAATATATGCATACACAATTACGTATGTATGTATGTATATTTCGATACACTTTGCGTATCGTTACTATTCTATAAAAATAAAATAAAAAGCAAAATGAAATAATAAATTTTTCAATCAATATCACAAATTTGTTTTACCTCCTACTTGATTTTGAACAAAATAAGAGATAATTACATCTTGTAGTATTCATGGAATAATGTACTTTTTACATCGCCTTTGCACTTCTGTTACAGAGAAAAGGAGCTATTAATTGAAACAAAGATCAATATCTGTGGAATGAGATCTTGGAAGGCCTTTTAATTTTTTCAGTGAGCTTTCTTGTGGTCCCATAAATAGTATACCATTATCATAGAAGACTGCGCGTACTAAAAAATTCACTCACTCAAGGTAATCATTTTTACTTTACAAAGAAATTCTTGAAAGGTAATAAGACGAATTTTTCATTATTTTTTTCATGAATTCGATATCATTAAAATAATTGATTCTCCGAACAGCCAGATTAATTTTTTGGGGTATTTTTCAAAATTTCTTTTGGTTATTTTTCAAGTTAGCAAGAACATTTATTTTAAATTTTTAGTAAAGATGCTTAGATACTTGTTGAAAAATGTTCATGCTCAGATTTAGATGAATTTGGTAATATGTCAATAAATTAACCCTTTAGTTCTCAATACTGAACTTTGAACCTGCATTATTAACAGAGTTCCAAGTTTCCCGCTTGGCACGCTTCCAACGCTCAGACGGATCGCTCCGAAATCCGAATACACGCACGACAGTCTGGAGACTTCAGCGGCGGCAGCTCGAAGCGTGCCCCTGCAAGTGTACAATATAGTGCATGTGCGTGCGTGTGTGTGTGTGTGTACTGTATACTTGTGGAAGCTGGGACCACTTGAAAATAGCTGCCATAGATACAGTGTGATTATTTGTTAATTGCTGCTGTTAGTACCGTACAGGTGTCGATCATGTAAGTACATCCCTCATTAATGAACAATGAAATTTTCAACGATATTGATATACTTTTTACACTGTTTTAACGGTTTCTACCAATTACTGACATAACCTATTTGTTTACCTAGGGCGCGAAGCCGGAAAGACAGCACTGGCAAGAGCGACTCCGAGGCCACCGACAAGGAGGTCAGCAAACGTTCTCGCGACAAAAAGAGACGTTCCGCCTCGTCCTCGAGCAGTGGAAGCAGGTTGGTAATTTTGTGCTTGATTAACCGATTGCCACGCGTTTACATTTTCGTGTTGTGATGCGCGATACGCCGACTATCGACTTACCGACATTTTCATACATTTTAACCTCATTTTGTGTTTACACTTGTGTTATAATTAATGTCAATTTATGAATTGTTCACTGAGAACTTGAATTATTGTGACAAAAAAAGTTCTATACTTGTGATGAGTTCTTAGTTTTTACAATGGCTTACTTTTTTAGAAAATGGAGTGTTAAGTATCAAAATGTTTTCTTTTTTGAAAACAAAAATTCAAAACTACTCCAATTAACCTATTGTGTTTATAATTCAGTAATCTATTAGTTACTTAATAATCTACATGATAAGTAAATGGCAAAGATAGCTCTAGAACTAAATCAATAATTTTATTTTCTGAATCTTTACTGATCATATCTATAAAAATCTCTGTGATGCTTTACAGAACATCAAAATAAAGTTTACCATTAAATCTTATAGACAAAAATACAGTGAAAGTTGAAAGAAAGAAGCTATAAAAATAAATTGGGCTACCTTTGCCATCTTCTAAATATTATTGTTATAATCAATTTTTTTTTTATTTTAAACCTCTTACTAAATGTTTTTTTTTTTCATAGTTCATCTGAAAGTAGTTCAGGCTCTTCTAGTTCAAGTAGTGGCAGTAGCTCAAGATCGAGCTCGTCATCAAGCTCATCTTCAAGTAGCTCTGGAAGTTCTTCTGCAAGTTCTCGGGATAGAGGACGTAAACGCTCCAGGAGCAAATCACCAGAGGCTCGAAGACATGAAGTTAAAGATAAAGAGAGAGAAAGAGAAAAAGACAGGGAGAGAGAAAGAGAACGTGAACGTGAACGTGAAAGAGAGCGTGAGCGGGAGCGTGAAAGGGAACGTGAGAGAGACAGGGATCGTGAAAGGGATAGAGATCGTGAACGTGACAGAGAAAGGGAACAGCAGCGCGACAGAGAAAAGGAGAGAGAAAAGGAACGTGAAAGAGAACGTGAACGAGAGCGAGAAAGAAAGAAGAAAGAAACCAACGCTGTTTCAGAAAAACCAAAACCAAAAGCCAAATCGAGGTAAGATTATCATTTCATCCATACAAATAAAGTTCTCTACTTGATATTTTTATTCTAAAGTTTCCCATCTGTTAGTAAATTCATATTTTCTTTTATATAACATATTGTTAGTAAAAAACAAACTGGTTTATTAACTATAAAAATTACCACTTTTAGGACTCCCTCACCTCGCAGAAAACGTAGAGAGAGATCTCCAGTTCCTAGACCTACAAAAATCCATATTGGACACTTGACACGTAATGTCACAAAAGATCACATTACAGAAATCTTTTCCACATATGGAAACATCAAACTAGTAGATTTTCCTGTTGACAAACTGCACCCAACTTATAACAAAGGATTTGCCTACGTTGAGTTTGAAACCGCTGATGAAGCTGAAAATGCCATGAAACACATGGATGGAGGTATGTGACTATCTTACTCATTAATCATGAAAAAATGCACTAATATTCAATGAATAGATAAAACAATCTTTCTTTTTTTATAATAGGACAAATTGATGGTCAAGAAATTACAGCAGCACCTGTGCTACTACCTCCTAAACCTAGAGCTCCACTGGCGAGACGTTCACCTCCTCCCGCTTTCCCAGGTAATCGTCGTGGACCTCCACCAGCTCAACGAGGTTGGGGCAATCGTAATTCACCTGGTCGTTATCGTCGTCGCTCCCCACCGGGTGGCAATCGTCGCGGACGCAGTCCACCAAGACAACCAAGGCGTCGACCGCGTTCGCGTAGTCGCTCACCAGTAAACAATTCGAGACGCGATCGACGTGATCGCCGCTATACCAGATCCAGTTCGAGCAGCTCGCGATAATGTAAAATTGAATAAATCAATTTTATCGTGTTATATTCATAAGCCATTACTATATATATTTCATGGATGAAGACCCTAGAAAACCAGACAAGTCATGACTTCTATGACAGAAATGGCTAACATTGATTTCATTTATCATATTTAAATTCTTTTAAGAATATTTTTCAATGCTTTGATTTTGGTCTTATTCAAAGAATCGTACGACATTTTTATATATACAAAATTATATAGAAAAATGTAAGAATATGTCAAAAAAGAAGAAAAAAAGAGAAAAGTCTACGTTTTTCTCGTGTATATTTACTACTACCTAGTGTGCATTTTCTGTTTTACATGTATGAGTGATGGTTTATACTTATAAATGACAAAATTTAAAAATTTAAGATAAGAAAATCATGATTGTGAATAACCGCGATAAATGATTATGTGCGAAAGACACGAAGATATGTAAGTTATGTTTAAGTTATCAACGTGGTCATGAACTTTGATAAATAAAATAAATTAAATTGTAATCTTAAATTGCATTTGAAATAAACATTTCTACACATTTAAAAGACTTCCTTCACTTGTTACCAAACAAATCGTTAAAAGTATTCAGGACTTTTGAATAGATTATTAAACCTTTACCTTTTGAATAGATTATTAAAGGAGGAAATAATGGGGTTTTCACAAAATATGAGACACCATGAATTTTGATAGAAACTATTATAATTAGCAGTTCTTTCACAAAGAACCGTACCATCGTATTTTTTCCATCTTTAGAAAAAGAAACTATTCACACACAGATTTTTCATACTATGCTATTACACATTTTTATTTTTAAATGTAGGTAGTTTCGCGTTTTTGTTCAATTCTTTTTTTCTTTTTATCTACAAAATTCCCAGAAATCGCTTGTATTTATTGCAACTGTTCGTGTCGCAATTTCATTCAGTTTCTTGATTAGTTTTTAATCAGCGATACCTCTTGTTATTAGAATTGATCATTATTACAATAACTTCGGATGAATCGTCATGAAAGACAATTATAATCAGTTGCATCAATGAGAAAAATATCTACAATTTACTTCATAAATAATATATTTATATATAATATATATATAATTTATTCGTTTTATTTATATAATCCTTCTGCATTCTTATAAGCGACCTCTGTTTCTTTCACGTTTGAGGTGTACAATTGTTCGGTTCCAGCATCACGACAATCGTTGTTACGACAAATGAATACAATTATAACTACGTATATATAATATACAAAACGCACCGTGTCACTTTCGTACATATATGCGCGCAAATCAACGGCTGTCGTATCGTTTAATATAAAGTCTGTATTGTATTTATAATTGCATCGAAGAGATTTCGAGTCAACATCAGTATTGCATCAATTTTTTTCGTTAATAGTAAATTTAATGTAATAGGAGCTATTTCAAGATCATTCAGAGCACGACTTTTGCACTCTGCGGTGTTTAAACGAGAGATATTTCCTTGTTTAATATATTTTTTTCGTGGTTTAGAAAATGGCACCCGCTTGGAAGTATATTCACAGTTGAACATATGATTACTTTCCCATATTTTGTACAAGAGGAAGAGTATAAAGGACAGAAAAGCAAACAGAGTTACAATGGGAGCGAGAATGAAAATGAGGATCAATTCGAAAAAGTAAATTAAAATAGCACCTACTAAATTGCAGTTGTAAAAATAAGAAACATTGTTGTAAGTAACATAATTAATTATTTTCAAAAAAAAAATTTTCATGTACATGATCTACAGCTCAACTTGTTTTCTAAATTTCTGACAAGGAAAAATAATATCCAAAGCGTACATTTTGTTTATTCGACCGCTGTTCAATTTGTTTAATATATCACAGAAAACGTAAGCTTCGGGTATTCCAAGCAGATTTTAGTCAACACATGTATTCGTTTTTCTACTCTCGCTTTATTTGAACGACATTGCTAATCTCCTTAATGCAAAAAGTACAAAATAATCTCTGTCCTACACCATCGGCAACAATATTTAGTACAAGGAGCTAAAATAAACACTTACAAGTCTTGTCTACCGGAACAAAAAATTTGCCTATTATTATACAAAAAAACGTATTGCCCGAGACATTGACTTTTTTTCTGTATGGATATACAAAAGACGATTCACAATTAAGAGATTCGTGCTCTATTCGATTCGATGCCTTCTTTTATAATTTCTGAATTTACACTCGTTCATTTGCTCTCTTATTTGTAGACACAATTTTTCGCGCGTACAATTTTAATTACGTATTATTACTATAATTTGCAATATATTAATGTATAATTATTATATGTGCACATTTTGTCTTTCTAGCATTTCCTTATTTATAAATTATATATAAGTGTGTTTTTGTGTGTTTTTCTTATACACAAATTTTTAAAAGTTTCATGCGAATGTCGCTACTTCATGAAGTCGATTTTCATTCATTTTCATCAAATTTTAAAAATTTCTTGAGCTATGCGCCAGCGTGAATTTTGAAGAATGAAAAACACTTGGTTCGTTCATTTTGTTCGAGTATGTATAACCATACAATCTCAATAAAACATGTATTTACTGTCAGATATATAAGGCGCGATATATTTCATTTTGTTTAATGCTTCTAAAGATCCATTCTCGTTTTTTTAGATCATTTAAATTTTGTTTACAATTTAAATATAAGCTGACTCGTTTTATGAATCAAAGCAAACGAGTAGAAGTACATTCATCAAATCCAGAGATCAATTTCAAGAAAATAATAGTTTGCAAACTAAAATTTTTTTTTAATCTTAATCAAGACAATATAATGAAAAAAGAACTTAAATCGCTTTGCAAAAAAAATCTTTATCAAACCATCGAATCTACAACAAAATTAAAAACTTTTTTTATGATAACTTTCCACTATTATAATTTTGATTATGTTTTACATGATCATCATGATTTTTTGAGATTTTTCGAACGAAAATTAAACGTATTCCAGTTTAAATATAAATCTAAGGTCATCTATAAGACGTGCATACACGTACTCGTATAGAGACACACAGTGTGTTCATTTAATGGTTCGTTTAAGCACGAATCATAGTTGTAATTATAAAAATTGTTTAAGATATAAACAAAAGTTATAATTGAACACTTCATAAACACACAAAGGAAAAATCCAATTTGTAAAAAATTTTCCAAAAAAAGTTTGGCTTTCATGATTGATAAGACCTAATCACTGATGTTATTATAAATCATATGTATAATATTTACATTGTGCACAATTTCTATTAGTTAAAACTTACTTAGTATATATATTTACAAGCCTCTCGATCAGTCAAAAAATCTTGAATCGATGATTGCGTTGAAAAGAATAGTATTTGCTTTTAGAAAAAGAAATAAAATAAAAAGCGCGGGTAAATAGATCTAAAAAATGCGATCTTGCTCGTAAATCTTCAATGTTGTACATACACTACGAGAATCATCATCGTAACATCTATAATTATGCTATATTCATTAGTAGTGTTTGTCAGCCTAAAAAATGCACAACAGCACCTTCTCGAACACACGACACTTTTATCACAAAAAATAATCTTTCTCTTGGCTTCGTCCGCGCACTCTAAGCATTGTCCTTTTTGTTTTGTTTTTATGTACATTTCGAAGCCTCGACTTTAGTCAGCTTATCATCGCGGTTGACTAGCCATGCCGTCATCTTTTTTGTGCAGATCAAGTCCTTGTACGGCGGAATTAGGCGGTTGGCCGGGCGGCGCCGGCCTGTGATGAAGATGCAGCGGACCAGGACTGGGATCTTTCGAGGCCGCCGCCGCCGCTGCGGCAGCTCGACTTGCCATAGCACCCGATTGGGCTTGTGCTTGTGCTTGCGCTTGCGCTTGAGCTTGAGCTTGAGCTTGCGCTTGTTGTTGATAAAACATTTTGGCACGCTCTTCCTCCTCGGCTCGATAGATCGCCATTACAGGATTGTAAGTGAGCTGTTGAAGGGTCCCGTAGCGGAACGGATCTCTATACGGATCCGTGGCCCAAGGACTTCCACCCGGCCCAGTGGGAGGTGGCGGGGGCACGAAGTGCTGCATCGGATGAGGTAAAGGAGGTAAGCCCGCCATACCCTGTCTTGCTAATGTGTGTGGATTCGGCGGTGGCATTCCATGAGTGTGACGGGCCGTGAGATACTGATGAGGATGTGAGTGGTGATACCTGCGGACAGAACAAAAGAATATAATGGTTAATAAAGAGATTCCAATCAATTCGATTCCGGAGTCAGATAGGTAAGGGTGTAATAAGAAGAGAAAAAAAAAACGTGAGAACTCTATCATTAAATATTTCATAGTTCATAAACCATGCTGATATGTGATGTCAATAACCAACCTTATCCATTTTTCAGTATTATGTAGGACGTTCTGCAGGTCCATACGTTCATTTCGCAATTCGTACTTTTCTCTACAGTTAGCCAAACAAACAAAATTACATGGTAGTTTTAGAGCAACTATCAGCAGGCACTATAGAGTTTATCGTGTTAAAGGTTGGTTAAAAAACTTTAATTTTTTAAATGAAAAATCCACGAGGATCATCGTTCAAATCGTTCTAGCTAGAGAGGGGACAGCGAAAGGAATTTCAAAACCGAAAAATAATTTGAAAATGCATGCAAACCTTGGATCTGTCATAGGAGGCGGTGGACCGGGCTGCTGTGGCATTCCCGGTGGCCTGGAAAGCATGACCACGTCGTCGTCTTTGCTTCGCGGCTCCTCCTTGATCCTGATACTGGCGTCGATCGGATTAGCACCATTTCGCAGGGGCGATCTGTCCCTCGAAGCGAGATGTCTTTGCTGCTGCATAATCCTCTCTCGCTCGAGCTCGCGTCTCTCCATCTCGCGCCTTTCCTTTTCCCTTCTTTCTCGCTCACGTTCTCTTTCGCGTTCACGCTCGCGCTCTCGTTCTCGCTCAGCAGCCGCGGCCGCTGCTGCAGCTTCCGCGGCTTTCCGCTTTTCTTCTTTTTCTCGCTCTCGTCGTTCGCGTTCTTCACGCTCTCGTTCACGACGAGCACGTTCTCGTTCTCTTTCCCTTTCGCGTTCGCGCTGTTCTCGTTCACGTTGTTCTCGTTCGCGTTGTTCTCGCTCGCGCTGTTCACGCTCGCGTTCGCGGGCTTGCTGCTGCGCTTGTTGCTGTTGCTCTTCGAGTTCGTTGCGACGTGCATCTTGAGGCTCGTGCTTCAAGCTCCACGTTGTCGATGTCGGAGGATAGCCAGCTGAAGCTCTTTGTAACCTGCGAGATCAAAAGATTTCAATGAATATCATGCAATGATCTTGTGCATCATTTGATAACGCGAATAGATGATAACTTACCCTCGCCATGGATCATGACCTGGAGGCATTCCCGGCAAACCTGGAATTTCTCTGCCAGGTGGATACGGGAGACCATGAAAGCCGGGAGCTGCACCTGGAAAAGGTGGTGGGAACCTGCCAAAGTGTGGCATACCTAAATGCGTGGATGGTGCCGTGAGGAAACCAACATTATGAGATATTGGAGGGGGTGGAGGCCCTGGTGCGTGTGTCTGCATGGCCGATGAGAAAGGTGGCGGTAGCGGCGCTCCGGTGATGCCCAAAGCGCCAGCAGGACCAGTTTGAAACATGTGTCCTGGTGGTCTCAGCAATTCCGTAGACTTTCCTGGCGAACCAGCGGCCGCGGCCGCCACTGCAGCAGCACCCACTGCACCCACAGCACCATCTTTTTTCCGCTGATGGCGAAAGATTTCCCACGCTATTCTTACGTGCATAGCGTTCCACTTGCCAGTTTTCTAAGGATAATAATAATTTACATTAATAAAAAGCTAAGGTTGAAATGGTTCATATTAAGTTTCATTTAATGGTCTAAGCTTTACCGTAGGTTGGTATGTCGATACGTGAGACGGAGGTACAAAAGTAGACGGTGGTGCCAAGCCAGGATGTAAAATACCGGTGCTAAAGCTCGAGTAGTTGTTGATTCCCCGAAAAAATGGAGAGTCCACACTTCCAAGCTTCGGAATGTCTTTGAATTGCTGTGAACAGAGAATGGGCATGTAATGATGATCCGCCAAAAACTACGCATGCTTATTTTATTGAATAATATAAAAACAACAAAACCAAGCATGATTTGCCGTTCTTGACACTAACAATTGGTGGAGCAGGAAAAAGGGTCGGTGCACCCGGTGGCGGTATCATTGATGACGAATGCTGATGCACGTGCGTATGCTGATGCTGATGATGATGCATCTCCGTGCGCAAATACGCTGGAGCCCCGAGTCCTGCCCGATCCTGCGAAGCGAGAAATCGATTGTCGAGCTCGCGTCGCAGCATGTCCTGCTGTTGACCCGCGGGCGCGTGATTCGCCACGTTGATCTTCGGTTCTGTAAAACCACGGGAACGTTTTTTTATAGGCAAATTCGTTTCGTCGGGGCCATTGCTCGTCGAGTCATCAAACTCACTTGAGCTCTGAAACAATGATTCGGCAGAGAACGGATTGGGATTCGTGGTTGGTGGCGGCGGGGCTGCTGCCGTCGGTGCCGGAGCGTGAGAAGACGCGTGCGGCGAAGCGCTCGACACGGGCGGCGGCAACGGCGCCGTGAACATCGGTGGCGCAAACGACGGATGAATACCCAGCGGCACCGGCGGCGGAGGCGTCGGACGAGGCGCAGACGTCACACTCGCTGCCGGCGACGGCGCACCGGTGCTGATCCATCCAGGAGCTTTCGAATACGTGGGTAGACTAGAATTGGCTGGAGGTGCATTGTTCGTCACGCTCACCGGCGTTATACTACTTCTGCTCAAACTGCTCACGCTACTGCAAAAAAGAAAAATAAAGAATTGATGAAAAACAGTCGGGAGGGTGGAAATTCGCAAATATACGTGCATAAAAAACACAAACCTGTAACTGTCTCTCTCGCGATTCGGACTGTGACCACGAGGCGAGTTGTTGCTGTTGCGACTCGGCGCGTGATTACCACCGGCGATCAGGTCACGATGAGGCACAACGTTGAGCGCGGTCGTCGTCGAGGTGACCATCGGCGAGACGCTCGGAGTCGTCGGCATGGCGGGCGTCGTCGTCGTCGTCGCGGTTATGCTGCTCATGCTGTGGCTGTTGTTGGTCATCATTGGGCTGACTATGGTCGACTTGCCGGAGGAGGAAATACTGCTGGTGCAGGGCGAAGCTCGGCTCGTCCGCTGCATCTCGTTGTTCCTCGAGCTCACGGGCAACACGTGCGACGAGGCCTGCGACGCCACCACGGGTGGCAGGTACGGACTGTGATTGAGCGGCGCGTACGGCGTGTACAGCGCCGGGTAGGCCGGCTGAGTTTGAGGATAGGCAGCCATGGGCAGAGGCGGCGGATGATAAGCAGCGGCTGCTCCGTTCGACGGCGCGGCCGGAGGTACTCCGAGACTGGCGACCGCCGGCGACGCCGCGGACGAGCTACTGCTGGCCAAGCCGATGCTCACCGGGTGGAGTATACTCGACGTGGCTGGCTGCTGCTGTTGCTGCTGCTGTGGCTGCAGCGGCTGTTGGTGTATCTGTGACTGTATTTGATGTGGTTGCTGTTGCTGTTGTTGCTGCTGTTGCTGAGGTTGTTGTTGCTGTTGCGGGTGCGGCGGCAACTGCTGCGGCTGTTGATGCGCTGGTTGTGGCTGGGGCTGAGCATGCTGCTGCTGCGACATGATCGGCGCCGTCGCCACGGAAGGCGATACCGTACCAGAAACGACGTTGCGAGATTGCTGTGGAGCTTGACCAGCTATTATTGCACGTGGGTTGTTTGCCGCCAATGGACTAGTCATCTGCAAGAAAACAGCTCGATTTAGTTTCAGACATTCTAAATACGACATATCACAGACAAGTTTTAAACTTACGGATGGCTGCGATATATGTGGTGGTAGGGTAGGACTTGGTGGACTTGGGGCCGTGGGCGCGGGTGCCTGCGTTGAAACGGGCGGCGCGATGGGTGCCGGCGCGTCCGTCGCCGGATTATTCGAGATCTGGCCGCCGGTCTCCGGGGGAGATCCGCCGCCACCGCTGCCGTTGTTCGCCGGCGTCGCGGCGTGAGGTGCGCCGTGCGGCGAAGACATTGGTAATTCGTCTGTAAAGCGAATGATATCTCGTTGTCTCACAAAACTCGTCTCTGGATGGTCAATACTGAATACTTCGTTCGACTTACATTTCCTTGCGAGGGGTGGTGGGGTAGAAGATTCAAAGAGTATCGATTCCGCATCCGAATTCTTATCATCTTCTCCTTCACTATCACACTGCAACAAAAGATAGGAATAAAACATTTTGTTAATGCGCCGCACTCAATGTTTCACAAGAGACTGTGAAAATTTAACTTTCACAACGTTTGAATGTTAATTGGTAAACGATATTTACACACAGTTATAATACAGATTGACAATTGCTACAAAAATAATGCTACGATATCATCTACTGATTCTATTAGGACAGAAAAGAAAACGAATGTACTTACGATATAGCCTTTGCCCGAACTGCAATGGCTGCTAGCCTGTGGAGCACAGAAAAGAAAATTTTGTTTTTTCTTTCCAATTTATATGTCGAGAAAGGTTTATCTTTTTTTTGAAAATGCAGATATTGGCAAAAGTGTAGAGAAAATTTGTACTTTTTTTTCTTTTGTTTCTTTTATTGGAAAGTATTAAAGGTAGTCAGTGTAATGATCGAAGTAATAAGCATTTTTAACGATTACACGACAGATGTATCGACGGAAGTTCTTAAATATCGTAGATAATCAACGTTAACTTTTCTGTTTAAAATTTTTATCTTTTGTTTTAATTGGCTGGTGACAAAACGACACGAGCAAAGAACATTAACTAGAGACACAGATATTTACAAATACATTAAAAATGAATGAGATGAATTCGATGAGAGAAAAAAACGTTTAGATAATGGATGAATAAAAACGTGACACCGTTTGTTAATTCAGTCCTCGTGTAAGATTAATAATTTTTTTCTGTACAGTTAGTAGACAATGTAATAATAATGAACAACGATGAAAAACTAATTTCGACATTGTATAACGAATAGTTAGCCATATATTATATTACGATGAGTGAGTGAGTAATGTGCGATTATTTTATATAATATGTACATGAAATGATATTGCCAGTGTGTATACGATGAAGGGTATGTATAATATAATGCGGAAAAAGTGAAAGGTGAAGGTAATATAGATAGACACGGATAGACGTTAAAACTCACGTCACTGAGGTGATCCCTAGAACTATCGGCATCCTGACTATCCCTCGGGACACCGGAAACGTGCAGCTGTTCGGATGCTCGGCCACTGTCGTCGCTCGTGCCTGCATCAACGCCCTGCAACGACAACCACAACATTAATGACGATTACCGTATTATTTATCTTTCGTTCAAAGCAGAAAAAAAAGAGTAGCTCACCTGAATGATCGTCGCCGAATGGTTCAGTATCGAGTTATGCGTATTATAGTGGTTATGCTTGAGATTGTTCTTAAGCGGCTGTTGCTGCTGCTGCTCGTTGTTGGCCGTGGCCGAGTGCGGCTGGCGATTGTGATTGTTGTTGTTCTGTTGCTGCTGCTGTTGGCCGGCCGCGTTCTGGCCCGTGTCGATTTTCGGCTTCTCGTCGTCGATCGACAGTATCGAGTTGAGCCTCTTGCAGTTGTTCTTGTTGGCGAGCTTGATGGCGCTCTGCAAAAATCAAACGAAGAAGAAACGTCAGCGTCGATCGTGGACAAATATAATGTAATACAAGTGGAATCCGTTTATTATGGTCGCGTCGGGACCAAGGCTTTTCGCCATAATGCACGGCGGGCCAAATTTATTCAATTATAGTACGTACAAATTTTGGACATCGACTAACCGAAATGTTTTTTAATTTTTTTTTGCCGATCATTTTTAGTAACAATTGTGTTAATGTTATTTTCATATGAATGATGAATTATAAAATCATATGCATAAAACTGTACACTAAATCTTGCGTTTTTATTACGAACACTAACAAACCATTTATTTTAAAACGTTTTCAACATCAGCATCGCTTCCATTTCTTTGTACACCTTGATTGTCATTAGCAATAGCATAATTTTCTTGATCATTTCTTTCTGATAGTATTTTATTAAGGGTTGATAGAGAAATATCAAGGTTCGCAGCTTTTTGTCATTTAGATACAGGTGAACTCTGACTATCGTACTTTTTCAATAATTTTAACTTATCTTCGATTGATAATCTTCTGTTCATGGTGACAATTTTTTGTCTTATTCGATGTTTATAGATCGATGCCGAACTCAAAACTGATATAAATGTTTACGTTATTAGATATTTGAACATGATTTCTGAACTATGTTTGGCCAAATTATCCGGCAGAGCTGTGTCTATCATAACTGACTTATTTGTTGTACTTTTACATAAAATGAGACCGGAGGTTTCGACCACATTAAACGGCTGGCCATATTATCCGCGGACACAATAAACGGATTCCACTGTATATCGAGTCAAAAATCGTCAATGTTTATCGAGGGGTCAGCGTATAAATCAAAGCTGAAGGGCCCATTACAAAAGTCAGTAGCTCGGCGCGTAGCAGCACAGCACGTGTGCATAAACGTACATAATATACACGAGTGTGTGCGTGTGTGTGTGTGTGTGTGTGTGTGTGTGCGAAGAGAGGCGGCTCTCTCCTATTGCCTTAATTCCCCTTACGACTCGAGTGAGCGCGTGCGACACGTGCGTGCGTTTGTGTGCCCTATAAGCTCGACGCTCTCACGTACCTATGCCGCTCCAACGCGAGCCTGGGCTGCTACTTTGCTTACACCTATATATTCGTATTATAAAATATACCAGCAACTTGGCGATGGTATATAGGAGAGCGTGTAGTGTAGCACCTATTACTTATAGCCCCCGTGTAACAGTGGCACGGAGTTTCGAATAAACGATCGAATTGTAAACTTATAATGTACGATCGATACGAGTGTCAATGCTCGATGAAAAATGAATCGATACAGCTCGTAAGCACACACAATCGCATTTAATTAATCGCAGCAGGACGAGATGGATTTTAAATTTATAAATTACGCATGTTTAGTTAATAAAATGCACCCTTACACGAGATAATCCTTCGAGGAACGAATTCTTCCAACTTCACGCACGCACTCTTCACCCCGCAAAGGGTTGCAACAGACTTGCACTTACTGCACACTCTCCCCGATAAAAAAAAATAACGAATCATCCCTTCGGCACTGGTGAAGCAGGAGGAGGACACGCTCCTCTCGCAGCAGCAGCAGCAGCTTGCCGGGCCGCAGCTTGGAAGCGGAGTGCAACGGAGCGCTCGAGCGCGCGCATCAAAAAGGTGCTGCACGGCACAGCACAGACTCTGGCTGGCTGGCACGTTGCCGCCGCCGCTGCGGCTCGGCTCTCCAGAAACGGAACGCGGCTCCGAGCCAGAGTGAGTATAGGGTATGTCTGCGTGTGTGTATGTGTGTGTAAGCGTATGTCCTATAGATATATGTATATGTGCAAGTAAAATACGAAGGGAGGGGAGGCGTGCGCTGCTCAAAAAGAAGAGAGAGAAAGAGAGAAAACGATCAGAGAGAGACGTTGACCGCGAGAGCCGTACAACGAGCAGCTGCAGCAGCATCAGCCCATAGGGAGACAGATTAGGCTCTCTCTCTCTCTCTCGCTCAGAGGCTTATTATTATAGATAATGATGATGATTTTCGCGAGCTGTGCTGTTACTGCCGCCGCTCCTGCACTTGGCGCAGCGCCGGGGCAGTACAGTACACAGCGCAGTGCCTATATAGCAAATTGAAAGTAATATCGTAATAGCCGATAACGCGCGACACGTTCTCGATGCGCTCCGCACGACGCAGCGGCGTATGTAAGCTGTGAGTGCAGTGCGTTACAAGGGAAAAATCGCCAACAACATGTATAAATCGTAATACTGCGTATATATCATCTATATGTGGCCTGATAAAAAGGCCAAATGAAAAAATTGGCTCCCCCGCAGTAGTATAGTATAACTGCGCGCACGAAGGCACGCGCTAATTAATTAAAATTATCAGCCCCTATCGCGATCTCCCTCTCTCTCTACTCTGTCTCTTACTACTGCGTTATACATACAATTTCGTTATTAATGGCTCTCTCAGCAGTAGTACTGAGCCTATATTATTATTTCCCTCTGGCTGGGGCATTAAAAATTTGCCGCCACCGCGCGCGGCTCGCGGATATATAATAGTATACGAGTGCAGCAGCAACGCTCAGTCAGCGACGTCTACGTCTCGTCTATTATGAAGGATCTCTTTTTTTTTTTTTTTTCAAAAAAAAAAGGACGTTTTTGCCCAACAAATCGGAGCTGCCGAATTATGCACACACACATGGCTGCATTGATTTATAATTCAGCAGTAGCAGCAGTAGTAACAGTACAGTTTACTATATGTGCATGTTGTATGCTGCTGCTGCTGTGTATGCCAACGACGACGCGACGGTGCAGCAGCAGCAGCAGCAGCGTTGCCACGTCTTTCTCTACCTATATAATACTACACATTCGCGCGCGCGAGCGAATATGTGCTGTATACGAATAGTACGAGAGTACGTGTTTTCGGGCTACGACGACGACGACGACAACTATATACGTGTATATAAAAGCGCGTGTGTGCAAACCTATATAACATTACATGTTGTATTAATCGCAGTGCACATGCTCTCTTTCTCTCTCTCTCTCCTTCTTTTTTTCTCTCTCTCTTTCTGTTTCTCTCGACAGGAGACTTACTTATGTCAGCTGCTCTACTTTTTTTTCCTGCCTTATTCTACTTGCGCACACGCTACACAATTCCTTTTTCGAGGATAGAGAGAGAGAGAGAAAGAAAGAAATGAAGGGTTGCTGCCAAAGATACACACTTTAATAAGTGAAATGAAAAATGCTGAGAGAGAAGTTAATGCAATGTATGTATGTGTTTGTGTATCCCATTGTGTAATCTTCTTATGTCGTCGAGCTCGCCGTCGTCATTTACGGTTCGATGACTTTTCGTTTAAGAATTCATATCATCGACGAGCAGTACATATAGCTGTGTAGGGCCGAAGAGTTTCGACTTTGTGTTAGTTTTACAAGTGGAAAAAGAGAAAGAATAAAAAAGAGTAAGAGAAAACGACAAACGAATAATTACGAATTTTTGTCTTCTCCCATTTATATAAAACAGCAACAACGTACAAACACATAAGCCCCGGCGCACGGGGCAAATACACAGCGTACAATCCGATCAACAGGGAGAGAGAGAGAGAGAGGTATATATCAAACGGTATAATTAAATCGATTGCTTCCTCTCTCTCTCTCTCTGCTGCTGCACAGCATCGGGGGTATAATACACAGTCTGCGGTGGTGGCTAATTTGTTCGACCATTTGTCCAATTAAGCTGGTAAGGGTTTTGTCCGCATTTGTACGTTCGTGCGTCCATTCGTCCATATACGCGCGCGTGTGTGTATGTGTAAGTTTATGTCTTCTTATCGAGTCAGCATTTTTATACATACATCGTATATAGCCCACGGGTCATGTGCATGTGGCGCGCTCGATGAATATTAAAACAAGAATAGAGAGGGAAGAGGAGAGAGAGAAACAAGATCGCCTCGACGAATTTGTGCATATCTCCTAATCGATGTTAATTAATTCACATTGTCTTTTAATACGTTGAAAAGAGAGAAAGCTGAGAAAAAAAGGAAGTCAAATTAATAACATGTAATAGAATCGCGAATTGCGGCGTGGAGAGAGAGAACGAGAACATTTTCATCGTTGAATAAACGAGCCAAGCTCTCTCTCTCTCTCTCGAGTAAGTTCGCGAAATGAAAGTGCGATAAATCATACAAATGACTGCTGCGCTTCTGCCTTCGCTATAGGACATGTATATATCGTTATATAGTACACACGTACACACATATACGCGAGCTGGCAGACTGGAGCGGCCAATTTGAATACATTAAATGCTCTTTCTTTTGCGCGAGCATAGCACAGACACAGGACACGTTGAGAGCGCGGTGGCGGCGACGCAGCATCAAATTGAATGTAAAGACTCGCAGCGATTTTTTTTCCCGTATGATATACACACACACGCGTGCACACACATACGCATATGCTTAATTAATCCGGCGTCGGATAATTTCGTTCAATGGATAAACAAGCTGTTTTCCCTTTGAACCTGCAGCAGCGGCAGCGGCAGCGAAAGAGAGCGAGAGACAGACAGCGTAAACTTGCTGCTTTACGTAACGGATATGCGCACATAATATTTTGCATATTTCGCGGCGAACGTATGTGTGTAAATTATCATCTCTTTCTCCCTCTGTCTCTCTCTCTTATACACAAGCTTGCTCTCTCTCTCCATATCGCGAATTTTAATTATAGCACGCGCTCAGCACGCGAGTAAACATTCGGCCAAAAATCCCTCTCACTCTCTCTCTCTCTCTCTCTATTTCTCTTGCATTGGCATCTAGCCATCACCCACAAAAGCCAGTTTATATAGACAGACACGAGCGCGGTGCAACATCTGTATAATACGTTGCGATAAATTTCTATTTAATACGGAATCACGTTTTAACTACTACTAACTACTACTACGACGCTGCTGCTGCTGCAGTGCCACCGCCTCTGAGTTGTTATTGTTATTGTTGTTATTGTGTGTTGTATACGCGCTCCGAACGACACAAGCGCG